TTCCTTGTACTTTATACTTGTGTCTAGTTATACAGTTTTTGTAAAATATGCCAGTATGCTTCCACTGATTTTTTAAAATTTGATAAAGTAGCTTAAGATTTTACTACGGAGCTATAATAACAATTGTGTTTTTTATGACAGCGTTGATTACATAAACAGGAAAAAACAGTATGATCAACGGTGTTTAGCTAGAACAAGAGTACACAGACAATATATAACTAAAACTGCCTTTTGCATAAAATGTGCCAAGTGCCCCTATTTAGGAGAAGTGTCTTTCTTTTATATCCTAATGTTTCTCTTGTCCATCAGCTTTATATTATTGGTGTGTCTGACTGTGTTGCGACGGTTGTGTCTGAGTGCGTGGTGACGACACTGTCCACTACTTTGTCTTAGTATTTTTCCTACACTTGACTTTTCTATACACTGCCGTCTAGAAGTGTCAATCCCCCAACCGTCACCAGTGACCCATGCAGGTAATTTGCTTTATTTATGGAGGATCTTGCGCTCTCACGGCATCCTCCATAAACCTCAATGCTGTACTCTCCCTCAGGCATTAGATTACAGCAGTGACGTTGGCGCTTGCCGCTGAAAAACTAGGAGATGAAGAGGACCGGCCAGAAAAAGATGGCAGCACCCACAAATTTTTAACTCTAAATTTACAATTACATTGCAAATTCTGCCAATTTTACTTAAAATTAATGTGAATGTGGGTTAGATTTAAGGGGAACGCTAAGCACCCCAACCACTGCAGTTCTTTAAGATTCCCCTCCCATTGAAAAGGAATATTACCTGGTTTTAAAGGGACACTATTTATTGCATTTGTTCTGATGAGTAGAATCATTCCCTTCATGCTTTTTGCTGTAAACACTGTCTTTTTAGAGAAAATGCAGTGTTTACATTACACTAGTGATAACTCCACTGGTCACTCCTCAGATGACTGCTAGAGGTGCTTCCTAGGGCAGTGCTGCACAGTGAGCAGCACTGCCATTCAGTGTCCCTAGCCTCTGCCTGCAGACACTGAACATTCCTCATACAGATGCATTGATTCAATTCATCTCTATGAGGAGATGCTGATTGGCCAAGGCTGTGTTTGACTTGTGTTGGCTGATCTGCCTCCTTGACACTCTCATCCAATCCAATGGGAAAGCATTGTGATCAGGGCCGTCTATAATATGATTAGGACCCTGGGCAATGCATTTTCTTGGGCCCCATGGGCCCTGTCCCTGCCACTGCCTCACCCCCCAATTACGTCCAACCTGCAATCACACTGACAGACGTACTGGCACATACACACACAGACAGACATTAAAACATTCACAGATACATACTGACACACACAGTCACTACACACAAATATATACTGGCAGATATACTGACACACACACAGACATACATACATACATACACAGACACATACATTAACAGATATACTGACACACACAAACACATACACTGACAGATATACTAAAACACACAGACACATACACTGACAGACACATTGACACACACACACAGGCATACTGACATACACACTGACACACACACACAGGCATACTGGCATATACACAGACAGACGTAATGGTTGATACAGACAGACATTAAAACATTCACAGATATATACTGACACACACATACACTGACATACAAATATATCCTGGCAGACATACTGACACACAGACATACATACATAGACACACAGACACATACACTGACAGACATACTGACTGACACACACATACACACACAGACATACTTACTTACATACACACACAGACATACTGACACACACAGACAGACGTACTGGCACATACACACAGACAGACATTAAAACATTCACAGATACATACTGACACACACATACACTGACACACAAATATATCCTGGCAGACATACTGACACACACGTACACACACACACACACACAGAGACATACCTACATACACACACAGACTTACTGACACACACACACAGACATACTGACACATACACACACAGACAGACATACTGACACACACACACACAGACATACTGACACATTCACACACAGACATACACACACACAGACATACTGACACACACACACAGACATACTGACACAGACATACACACACAGACATACACACACAGACATACTGACACACAGACAGACCTACTGACATACATTTAGCCACCCTCCAGGTTCTTACCTTTTCCTGGAGGGTGGTTTCCGTGGTCCAGTGGCAGGCTGAGGCAGATGGGAGTTCTCCTCTGGAACTCCCCTCCTCCCTGCCTTCCTCCTCCCGCGCGGCCATTATCTCCGGTGGGAGGAAGTGATGTCACTTCCTCCCAGCCGGCTGCAGAACCGGAAGAGGGGCCCGGTCGTGCTGTTTAAGCGCCACAGCTCCCGACCGGGCCCCTGCTGACACATGCTCCCCGGGTGGGCCTTAGTGCATGGGCCACCCGGGGAGCCTCCTCAGTGTGCCGGAGCCGCACCACCCGGTCCATGGGGGCTGCGCAAATCGTGGGGCCCACAGAGCAGCTGCTCTGGGCCCCCAGGAGCAACTGGGCCCGGGGCAGCTGCCCCGTTTGCCCCGCGTTAAAGACGGCCCTGATTGTGATTGGCTCAGTCCATCCTTTCTGATGATGTCAGCACACAGCAGGCAGTTCAGAGGCAGTAACTGCAGACATGAATACAATTAAGATTTTACTATATTTAGGGAGACTTGGGGGGCTAGGCGGTGGTTTTAACACTATAGGGTCAGGAACACATGTTTGTATTTCTGTGTTTCTTTAAATGTTATCAGGTGATTATTGTAACATGTAGTGTGGGACTGCACAGTCCACAGTCTGTCCATCAATGTATCACTTTTCTAGAAAAGTGCAATATTTCTTTCAAAGATAGTTTTATTTCCTGCCAAGCTGCAGTATTGTACTTTTCATCCTTTATCCTGCTGTTCAGAAAGAGTGTTACCTTATACATTCCAAAACAGAAGCTCACTAAAGATCCCTAGATCCAGTTAACCTAAACAGTGACAATAAAATGTCCTCTTTTTCAATACTGCCTTGTGCCTGGTTCTGTCTCTATACTATTTAGAGGAAATTGACAGCTCCGGAGTGAAATGGAACACCATTAGAGAAAGTACTGGTTCAATTTGGACATGCACTTTCTTTTTTTGTTTGTATCTGATTGGACACAGATTCAGCATCAGTGTCATTCCTTAATATATCTCCCCTGTATCTCTTGTTCACTGGACTTAAATGTAATTTAATAAATTGGTTTCCTGACTCACCACTCAATTGTGTTAAAAGTTGGAAGAGTCTTATCACATGAGCACTCCTAATGATTTCATCGTTTGATCTGAGATCCATCAGTGGCCGAGCACTCTTAAGTATGATAGAGTAAGAATTGAGGGTTCAATTTGTGGATGCTTATATTTGACTATATTGAGTGTTTTTACTTGCGCATAATGGTTTTCTTTATCTTTTTCTGCCTGCACTAATCTCCTCTTCATTTGAGGTCAGCATCACTAAGTGACCCAATCAAATCATTAATATACCAATTAGTCAATGGCCTGCCTGGGTTCCTTTACATTTTTAAAGCCATTATAAATCATGACTTGAGTGGCAGCCAATCCAAGTGCTTCATTTTCCTCTCTGGAGGTTTTTTTTTCTTTCAATATTTACATAGCTTATCAGTAAAAGAGTAAACCCTTGGAATCTCCAAATCAATCAGCTGTAAGGGCCCTTACTCTAAAATGTCAAGCAAGACTTTCCGACCCGATTAATTCATTTATATTCTAGAAACTAAGGAATTTCTGTGAATGGTTACAAATTTTTGAAGTTGAATGAATATTGTTTGCTTTTTTTTGCGTTACGTAGGTGTCAAAGAATAAATGGAGTTTGAAAAAAAGATGAGAAATATTGTGTTTTACACCCCACCTCCTATAGACTGTAAGCTTTTTTGAGCAGGGTCCTCTTCAACCTATCGTTCCTGTAAGTTGTCTTGTAATTGTCCTATTTATAGTTTAATCCCCCCTCTCATAATATTGTAAAGCGCTACGGAATCTGTTGGTGCTATATAAATGGCAATAATAATAATAATAATAATAATAATATAAAAGGGTAGCATTATGGGAAAAGGTCTAAAAGTAGAGCAATTGACATGGAAACCAATGAGATGGTCTGGATAATTCCACTGGTTTCTATGGTGATAGCTCCAGTTTTAAAACTTTACATTAATTTTCGGTTAGCAACACTTTATAATCCCCACCCTTTGTCTGTGATACTAACTTTGTTTGAAAGGTTCATTCTGCACAAGTTAGTGTTTCATGCACTGAACCAGAAAGTTGTACTTTGAGCGCACATTTATTCCAGTGTTCACTAACCTGAGCATGTGATTTAGCAGAGTTGGCAATAACTTTGGGATGGGATTGGTACACAGTCCAAACATTGCAGGCCTCAGTGAGAAAATGCAGTCCAGATTGTAGCATCGGCATTGGAATGGTACCAGATTATTTTGCTATGTATAAAATGTTAACGGTGGCTTTAAATTGCAAAAAAAAAAAATCACTTGTGCTCATATGGAATCAAATATAAAGCAACTTTAATCAGAGGAGCTACTGGTAGCCACGTTAGTTCACTGCAACATGCGGCACTGACTCCATATAATTTCAGCTGGAAGGGAATTGTGTTGCTGTGGTTAAAATCGATAACATTTTGAGGATTTAAAAGTTAAAGGAACATTATAGGATCAGGAACAAAACATGTATTTCTGACCTTATTGTGTTAAAACAACCATTTAAGGGGCTTGCCACCCCTAAGTCCCCTTAAAAAGTGTTAAAATTTACATTATTTCCAGTCTGCTGCTGCTGGCCCCGCCCCAGATCTGCCTCTTTGGCTGACATCATCAAAATTGACGATCTCAGCTAATACAATGCTTTCCCTCAGGGAAAGCATTGGATTGGCTGAGATCGTCAAGCAGGCTGGGCAGAACAGCAACGGGAAGCATTTCTAGTAGCCATCTTTTCTCTGAAAAGTCAGTGATTACAACAAAAAGCCTGCAGTGACACACTACACACACCAGAACAAATACAATAAGTTGCTGTTGTTCCGGTGACAATAGTGTCCCTTTAAGATTACAGGGACACTTTCCCAACACGTTTACACTAAACTAAGCTGTAGTGTCTGTGGTGCTTGGAATATTCCTTTAACCAAAATCCACTCAAGAAAACGTAAAAATGATCTGTGATTATTGAAAGGCAAGCAACTGGCCCAACTGGTAACCAGGGTTCTAGAACTCAGTATCTTGGAAGTAAGTACGCCTTGATGCCTTTACATTTTGTTTAATGGAGAGTTATACAGGGAGTGCAGAATTATTAGGCAAGTTGTATTTTTGAGGATTAATTTTATTATTGAACAACAACCATGTTCTCAATGAACCCAAAAAACTCATTAATATCAAAGCTGAATATTTTTGGAAGTAGTTTTAGTTTGTTTTTAGTTATAGCTATGTTAGGGGGATATCTGTGTGTGCAGGTGACTATTACTGTGCATAATTATTAGGCAACTTAACAAAAAACAAATATATACCCATTTCAATTATTTATTATTACCAGTGAAACCAATATAACATCTCAACATTCACAAATATACATTTCTGACATTCAAAAACAAAACAAAAACAAATCAGTGACCAATATAGCCACCTTTCTTTGCAAGGACACTCAAAAGCCTGCCATCCATGGATTCTGTCAGTGTTTTGATCTGTTCACCATCAACATTGCGTGCAGCAGCAACCACAGCCTCCCAGACACTGTTCAGAGAGGTGTACTGTTTTCCCTCCTTGTAAATCTCACATTTGATGATGGACCACAGGTTCTCAATGGGGTTCAGATCAGGTGAACAAGGAGGCCATGTCATTAGATTTTCTTCTTTTATACCCTTTCTTGCCAGCCACGCTGTGGAGTACTTGGACGCGTGTGATGGAGCATTGTCCTGCATGAAAATCATGTTTTTCTTGAAGGATGCAGACTTCTTCCTGTACCACTGCTTGAAGAAGGTGTCTTCCAGGAACTGGCAGTAGGACTGGGAGTTGAGCTTGACTCCATCCTCAACCCGAAAAGGCCCCACAAGCTCATCTTTGATGATACCAGCCCAAACCAGTACTCCACCTTCACCTTGCTGGCGTCTGAGTCGGACTGGAGCTCTCTGCCCTTTACCAATCCAGCCACGGGCCCATCCATCTGGCCCATCAAGACTCACTCTCATTTCATCAGTCCATAAAACCTTAGAAAATCAGTCTTGAGATATTTCTTGGCCCAGTCTTGACGTTTCAGCTTGTGTGTCTTGTTCAGTGGTGATCGTCTTTCAGCCTTTCTTACCTTGGCCATGTCTCTGAGTATTGCACACCTTGTGCTTTTGGGCACTCAGTGATGTTTGCAGCTCTGAAATATGGCCAAACTGGTGGCAGCAGTGGCATCGTGGCAGCTACTGCGCTTGACTTTTCTCAGTTCATGGGCAGTTATTTTGCGCCTTGGTTTTTCCACACGCTTCTTGCGACCCTGTTGACTATTTTGAATGAAACGCTTGATTGTTCGATGATCCCGCTTCAGAAGCTTTGCAATTTTAAGAGTGCTGCATCCCTCTGCAAGATATCTCACTATTTTTGACTTTTCTGAGCCTGTCAAGTCCTTCTTTTTGACCCATTTTGCCAAAGGAAAGGAAGTTGCCTAATAATTATGCACACCTGATATAGGGTGTTGATGTCATTAGACCACACCCCTTCTCATTACAGAGATGCACATCACCTAATATGCTTAATTGGTAGTAGGCTTTCGAGCCTATACAGCTTGGAGTAAGACAACATGCATAAAGAGGATGATGTGGTCAAAATACTCATTTGCCTAATAATTCTGCACTCCCTGTAAGGAGTAAGCCTATTGCAGTATCACTCCTTTAGATATAAATTGAGCCCGGGATATATCTCTGTTTTAGATTTAAGTAACTAATTTAAAATTTAAATCAAGAAATCCGAGAAACACCATAAAGACAAATTCCAGGCATTTTTGTAAGTTCTATTTTCACATTTCGCATTGCATTAGATTATATCAAAGGTAGCACAGAACAGCTACTTTAAAAACAGAATGCTGTAGATTATAATGTATACTTGATGCAGAACAGGCGTGCTTCTTACACTATCCTGGGCGAGCTGGCTGAAGCAACTGCATGTGTATGTAAGAATGTGATTCATTACTGCTTGCTGAATGAAACTATAAATCTTTCATGTTAAAATTGTATTTTTATTTTTTTAAATTTTATTTTATTTAAAAAATTTTTAAAAATCATTCAAATTATTTTATTTTTACCGAGGTATATTCTTTATTATTTTTATTTATAGTCCGCTTCACAACAATGTGATAGCACTTGGTAATATTTAGTATTAAGAGTCATATCTTGATTTTCTACTAATATAAATATTATCTTATTTCATTGAATAACATATTTGTGGCCCTTGGCAGTAAACAGACTTGATATATTGCTGTTAGAAGGAATACAGCTGTTCTAGAACATTAATTCTGCACTGTTGATGCCACTATTAAACCCTCCAAACACCACAGTGTTCTTCTTTGTCTTCTGTGAAACTGGCACAGATCAAATAAGTGACTGTGACAATAATTTCCTTATTGGTAATGATTGGTGGGTGTGGATCAATTATTAAAAAGAAAATACATTTTCCCTTTTCCATTTGTTTGGATGTAAACATTAAGAGTTAGAGCTAAAATATATCCCAGTAGGCCTCCATTAATGTGGAATTGATACCTGCAGGATAATATGTTCCGTCATACAAGAAAGACGCCAGATGCCTCCGTGAAATGGTGTAAATTATCTGGATTGCAGCACTGCTCCCATGGAAGGGACTGTCTACTTTACAGGTCACCCGCAGCAATGACAGCTGTCAAGGATTGCTGGTACTCAATGCTTTTACGCAACCCAAAACCACAGATTTGAAGGCCGCGAGGATTGGACTTGATGCTTCTGAAGCCAAAGGCAAAGCCAGAGGTGTGAAGTCATTAAAATATCATTGTCCCTTGTAACATTGAAACATTACCGTCAACATAACATAATTTAATAGAATTCGCATGAGAAAGCAATCCGTGTAGAGGAAGGTGGGTAACAAATGTGTCTTTGAAATGATTGGGAAAAATATGACAATTTTCCTTTGTTATGTTTATAGGAAAGTAGAATATTACATTAATAAAATATAGGATTTTTCTCCAGTAGAATAAAAAGACAAACTGAAAAAAAAACCAGAATTGACAGTAGATTAGATGACAACTTTGTCCTGTCAAATTAAATACAAACAAAATAAAGCTTTATTTAATAATTTGCCACCATGTATCTGCATCACACTATGTATGGGAATGAGTAACAAGCTAAAGAAACACCTATCTGAAATGAAATATTGATTACTGTGTCATATTATTTGGCCATATCATGTTTAGTCCGCCACAGTTAATCATTAAATTCAAAATATCAGGTCAGTGTTTTATTGGAAAAAGTTTGGCCAGGCACTCATGAAAAATTGTTTTAGGAACTTTTCCTTGAAAAAACTAATAATTTATTTTTAAGCAATTTAGTATATACATAAAAACAAACAAAATCTTAGAATTTAAACATTTCTTAAATCAGTGGCGGATAAAGGAGGCCTCCCAGCGATCACTTCCTGTCAGACCAGGTAGAGGAAACAGAAGATGCTCCACCACAGTCTGCGGCTCAGCCATTATACAAATAGGTCAGCAAGTACAGATGGGGAGAGTGGAGGCACATAAAGGGGCTCGGTGGAAGGGGGAATGACACACGAGGAGGAATGATACACATGGAGGGACTGGGGGGAAATGAAACACATTGAGGGACTGGGGGGATAAGACACATGGAGGTGCTGAGGGGGGAGACACATGGAGGTGCTGAAAGGGGATACACATGAAGGGGCTGTGTGGGAGGGGGAATAAGACACGTGGGGGGGAATGAGACACATGCAAGGGCTTGTGGGGAATGAAACTCATTGAGGGGCTGAGGTGGAATGAGGCACATGGAGAGGCTGGTGGGGAATGAGACACATAGAGGGGCTGAGGAGAGAAAAAGACACACAGAGGAGCTGGGGCTAGAAAGAGACACACAGAGGGTCTGGGAAAGGTGAACAAGAGATACAGAGGAGCTGAGGAAAGCAAACAATAGACACATAAGGGATGGGGAAGGGGAGAATGATGTCTCATTTTCAGAGGGGCTGTGGGGAAAGAGACTCTGGATCTGCCCCTGTCGTATACACAGCTGAATTTCACACTGACCTGTACGTTCGGAGACAGATGCAGAGATTTAATATGGTCACACTTTTGCAGACAAAGTAAAATAATTCATCAACATTCTATGTCAGTTCTGGTGATTGATGTCTTTAAATGGTCCAACCTTTGGGCAAACTCAGCTAAAGGAATATGAGTATACTGTGAGAGGCAAATGCAAACGATCAATAATTGAAATATTCCACAATCTAAAATAAGGCCTTCTTAAAGGAAGCTATCACTTCTCAGGTTTTGTAATATTGTGTTTACTTGTCCTAACAGTAAAAATATATGTATTTGTAAAATGCCCAAAGTAAGATTTAATGCAGAAATCCATATCTATGTTTCCTACAACTTTGTGCCACAATCTTGGCTCCCTGTCAATCATTGTTATAAACTCTGTTCTATTTCTACTCCTCATTTGCAGTGTTTGCCCCGCCGTTGCATTCTCTGAACTGGATTATGATGTAACTTGCTAAATCTTGAACGGACATTAAAAAGAGAAAAACAGAGAATCGCATGATAAAAGGTTAATGCAAGTTTTGGGTTATTTTTATGTTTTATTCAATTGTGAATAAAATGAGAAGTGACAGCTCCTCTTTAAAGTGGGGATACTCAAAGACTAAATGACTTTGTGAAACTTTGTGTTTACATACTGGCAGAAGAAATGCATGTTCAATGCACTGCAAGTTGGACTATCTTCACCACACTGAAAATATGATGTATGCTAGGTATTAACCAATTGACTTATTAAAACAAGCAGTTAAGAGACATTTAGCACAATACTGATAATAAATACAGATAATTAAAAGCAGCTGGCTTCCAAATTTGTATTTTCTGTTAACTATTTAATCTCTCTACTTATTGTTCTTTTGCAATCTGACCTCACTATCCATGCAGTTCTATCTCTATTATCCCTACTTCATTCTAGATTGTAAGCTCACAAGAACAGATGCCTCAGTCTAGGGCTTGACTGGGAAAACAATTCGGCCCAGACATTTTTCAATCACAGCGGCCCCCTGAGAAGAAGGTAGGGCCAGAGAGGGTGTGTTTTGTCATCACTAATAACAAGCAAGCCCCCTCTCAAAGTGAGCATGTTAATTCAATGCACAGAGCCCCACTGAAGAGCTCATCGGAAAAAGGCCTTGTATTTGTTCTGGGCAGCGCAAACAAATTTAATGACATGCTTTGGCTGTGTTTGTTTTTAACTTGTCTCTGGTGTCTCCATAAGTGGGATACCAGAGGACAGAAGGGCCAGGAAAGCATATCGTGGATGTGTTTGGCGCCTGCTTGTGGGATTGCGTGTGTGTAGAGTGAGCCGATTGTGGTGTGGTATTGTGTAAATAGGTCAATTTCAGTCGTGTTTGTGGTGTAATCAGTGGTGTATCCTGGTTTTGTGCTGCCCTAGGCATGACAAAACTCAGGCATGCCTTCTTAATACACATACACACTCACTGAAAGACACATATACACTCAGTGTCAGACACACACATTCACTGAGACACACACATACACTAGTTAACAGACATACGCACTCACTGACAGACACACATACACACATACACAATCACTAACAGACACACACACACACACTCACTAACAGACACATACAGTCACTAACAGACACACACAGTCACTAACAGACATACACTCACTAACAGACATGCATATACACTCACTAACAGACACACATACTAACACACTCACTATCACATGAACACACACATACTAACACACTCACTAACAGACACACACACACACTAGCAGACACACACATAGTAAGACACTCACTAACAGACACACACACACTAACATACACACACATACACTCTCACTAACAGACACACAGAGTCACTAACAGACACACACTAACAGACACACACTCACTAACAGACACGCATACACTCTTACTAACAGACACGCATGCACACTCACTAACAGACATGAAAACACACTAACAGACACGCACACTAACACACTCTCTAACAGACACACACACACTAACACATTCACTAACAGACAGACACACACACACACATAGTAACACACACACTCACTAACAGACACACACACACACACTAACAGACACACACATAGTAACACACTCCCTAACAGACACACACATTAACCGACACACACACACTCACTAACAGACACACACTCACATTTATTTATTTTTAATTCAATCCCCCTAGCCTCCCTATCTTTGGGAGTGCTGGGGTGGAATCTTGCTTTCCCTGGGGTACAGTGGGGCTGCTGGGTGGGCGGCCGGTCACTGCAGTCAGCGAGAGTCCTCCTGTTCAGCTTCCTCGCGTGCCACGTAGTGATGCTAGGGCCGGAGTCATGTCATATTTGGGCACCGGCATCACTGCGTTGCACACAAGGGAGCTGAACAGAAGGATCAGTACTCCTACGCCGCCCGCCCGGAAAGTGCCGCCGCTTACGGACAGCTCCTGGGCCCCCCAGGACAAGGCATTTGCCAGGGCGATTGGAGGGCGGCTTTTTTTGCCACCCCTAAGAAAGTGTCACCCAAGGCAAATGCCTTGTCAGCCTCGCAGTAAATACACCCCTGGGTGCAATATGTGTGGCAAGGGGCTGTAGAAAATGTGTGTATACATAGTGTGTATAGGGGATGTAGCGAGTGTGTGCATACGGGCTGTAATGTGTGTGTGTATAAAGGTGACGTAGTGTGTGTAGGGGTTGTAGAGAGTGTGTGTTTAGAGAATGAAGTTTGTGTTTGCTTACAAAGAATGTAGTGTGTGCATAGGGGATCCAGAGTTTGTTTGTCAGGAATGTAGTGTGTGTAAGTGGTGCAGTGTGTGTGTAGGGGATCTAGTGTGTAAAGGAGCCAGAGTGTGTATAGGATATTGTGTGTGTATGTAGAGGATTCAGGGTGTATATAGGGATCTAGTGTGAATGTGTGTAACTTAGATGATCCAGAGTTGGGTAAGGGATCCAGCGTGTATCTGGAGCATAATGTGTGGAGTGGTGCAATGTGAGGGGTGCTGTAGTATATATGCATATATGTTTGGATGTATTGAATGTGTGAGGGGAGCAGTGTGTTGGGTGTGTTGTGTGTATGTGTGAAGGGTGCAGCATGTGTGTGTGAGGGGTGCACTGTGTGTGTAAGAGGGTTGTATTTATCTGATGTCACATTCTATGTTTCTAATTTTCTTTGTCTGTTAACTCACTGAGGTTTTTTTTATACATCATATGTGTGTGTGTGTGTGTGTGTGTGAGGGTGGGGTGTGTGTAATGGTGCTGTGTGTGTCTGAGGCTGCTGTGGTGTGTGAGGGTGCTGTGTGCGATGGTGCTGTTAGTGTGAGTGTGCTGTGTGTGTGTCTGAGGGTCTGAGGGTGCTGTGTGAGGGAGCTGTGTTTGTGAGGGTGCTGTTAGTGTGAGTGTGCTGTGTGTGTGTGTATGTGCTGTGTGTGAGGGCGATGTGTGTGTTTGAGGGTGCTGTGTGTGTAATGGTGCTGTGTGTGAGGCTGCTGTGTGTGTGTGAGAGTGCTGTGTGTCTGAGGGTGCTGTGTGAGGAATGGTGCTGTGTGTGTTTGACGGTGCTGTGTGTGTGCTGTGTGTGTGAGGGTGCTGTGTGGGCAGGGCCGGTGCAAGGATTTCTGCCGCCCTAGGCAAAGATCCATTTTGCGCCCCCTCATGTCACTCACTTACTGACAGACACACACTGGCAGAAACACACACTCACTGACAGACACTCACTCACTGACACACATACACTCACTGACACACACACACACACAGGCAGACACACACATTCACTGACAGACACACACTGGCAGACACACACACTCACTGACATTTACTGACAGACATACACTCGTTCACTGACAGACACACACACACACAGACACTCACTAACATACATACACTCACTAACATACATACACACACACACACACAGAGACACTCACTGACAGACATACACTGGCTCACTGACAGACACACACACACACACACACACTCACTCACTCACTGATAGACAGACACACACACACACTCACTCACTCACTGACAGACAGACACACACACACACAGACACTCACTGACAGATATACACTTACTCACTGACAGATGCACACAGACACTCACTGACATACATACATACACTCACTCACTGACAGACACACACACACTGACAGTCAAACACTCACACACTAACTGACACGAAACACAGGCAGACACTCACTGACATACATCCACTCACTGACAGACACACACACAGGCAGACATTCACTGAGAGATACACACATACAAACTCACTCACTGACAGTCAAGTACTCAAACATTCACCTCCCTGAGGTCCAGTGTGGGGCAGCTGCTCACTCCTCCCGCCTGCTGTTTAGTATGCCTGCGGGATACCCTCGCGAGATCTGAGCGTTGCCAGGGTAACTGTGGCAACGCTACAACCTCAAGAGAGGAACCGGGCTGAGCTGCAGGTAAGAGCTCCCCCGGGTCATCCTCTCACTCCCTCACCAGCTGGCAGACGCATGTCTGTGCCGGTGGGCCAGTGAGGGAGATCTTTGATTGCCCCACTGGCTAATGAAGGCATACTGCAGGGCCAGCGCTCGGGTAGTGCCGGCTCTGCATGGGCTGACAGGGAAGATCCTGTGATCTTCCCTGTCGGCCTCGGCCGATGGCCATTGTGGCCAACCGGGGATTTGACCAATATGCTTGATGGCCAGTCCGGGCCTGCCTCAGTCTATCTGTGTTCACATGTATCCATCTATTTATGTTAGTAAAAATGTATGTAATATTTCACATCTGTCAACATGTTAGTGTTGTTTAATAAAGCTGTGGAACTTGTTAAACATTATATAATAAATACATATTTACACACATGCATAATAAAATAAAAGAAAGGTTTCTGTGACTCTGTTAGCGATTTATCATTTTGTGCTGCTCAAGATGCTCTCAGATGCCAGCTCAGTGTGCACAATGTACAAAATCCCTAGATAACAATTACCGGTAACGGTGTTATACGATCACGCTGGCGCTTTATTTGTATACTGCGTAACTGAGAGATGCTCACTTTCCTAGTTTTCATTTGTACATATTTTAACCATTTAGACCGGAATCTGTTACTGTACCGGGGAATTAATTTCCATTTCTCCTCCATGCTTCCTTTAGATGCTGAGTAGCAAAAATCTCATAACTGCATTCGTAGAAATATAAACCTTTCCAGCAGATTAAAGTCAACTATTACATCAACAAAAACAGAAACCGTATTGTGGTATCCTCAAAATTAGGAAAATTAGCAAAGCTACACCAGAACACACACAAAATATCACCCTTCAAGCTTGGAGCTTTGGCAGCGATGCTTGGCTTCATAATGCTGATACAGAAGTCAGCTTTGAATTATAAAAAAATACTCAAAAACACAAACAGCATTCTGGGCCTTAACTATTGAAGCTACTGGTGTTAACTTGTAGCTCTTGTTTAGTGCTTCAACGTTGTTCACTTCAAAGTGATTATGTGTTTTTTCCAGACCTTTCTGCCTAATCCGTTTGTTCCATTCCAAAACTTTAATAATAAAATTCCACATTTTTTTTACTTCCAAATCTTCTTTGCACACAGATCAGTGTTGCAGCCTATTCCTGCTGCTTTATTTATACACTTAATACATGTTTCTTAGTAGTTACACTGATTTAGCCATTGTGGCAGATTTGTCCATTTGATAGAAGCTTTGATTACTAAAGCACATTCTTGTTGCCTCTGTAGCACTACATACAATACATGTGCTGGCAGTGGGATGGTGGTGGGTGGACTCAACTGACCAATGATGCTTCTGTTCTTCAATATCTTCTGTTGGGCCATTGTATCAATAGTCCCCAAGGCAATGAGGCATCACTGAAAGTGGGAGAGAGCTTTCTGCACAGATGTCTTTGTGTGCAGAGTAGTACGCTTGAGGTAGAGTGACATGCGTGGGTTGAGGGGCAAAATGTCACAGAACCTAGTATTAGAGAGGAAACACTTCTAATCTGGACTCGTCCTTCAATATAAAAGCAATGCATCTCATGCCAGCCCTGGGAAATATCTAAAATTCCCAACATAAAATAAAGAATAAATTGGTTTGAGTGCGGGTAGTGCGGGACATGTAAGCAGTCTGGTGACTTGACTCCGTAGTCTAGCGACATGTGATATAGCGATGCTAATGAATTTAAAATTCAATGTTTTTTTTTTTTAAATACTGTAATGTAAAAGAAGCTGTTAACAACAAACTCTGCCCTACAGCTATGCTATTTCCTAAAAAAGCAAAAATGTCCTGCTTTAGGATAAAACTACTGCAAAATGGAAAAACAAACACAAAAAAACATAATGTGTGAAAGCCTTTTTTACAGTAAAAGAAAATGTATTTTTCTAGGGTTTTATGCGCGTAGAGCTGAGATTCTTCACTCTTTCGTCATAGGGACTAAAAATTCAAATACGCCAATAACTCGATGACCCATTCTTCAATATTAAAATGACCTCAGTGATCCATCCTTAAAGTGGAATATAAGATACAACAAAATGAATTCTGCAAAATACTTTCATTTGAAATCAGAAAGGTCTCCCCTGCACTTAGGAAGACAGTGCGACTAGATCAGTTGCCTGGATGGGATAAATTCAATGTTTCTGTTCCTGCCATAAAGGACCAACTGATATATCATTGGGTCCTAATTTTGAGTCCCGACCCAGGAGTTAATAAAGAGTTATGTGATGTAGAACATAATTATAGTTAATATGCAGACAATCATATAAATAAAACATTTGCTTATTTTGTTTCATTTGGAGTGATTTGCTTTAGGGATTTCATAAACACTCATAAAATCACCTATAAATAATCATTAACAAAAAGGGCATACTTAAATAAAATATGTACGTCTTTGCCCAGTGAATTGATAGAAGTTATGCATCACTGATAAATACAGTGCATATATGGTATAGAGCATAATAAGATGGTTTTAGTGCATCCCCCTTCTAGTTATTAAATGTGGGATTGAAGGTCATTGAAGCACCCATTTATAAACCAGCAGAATGATTTGGCCTCAGAATGAACTTGAAAAAAATATTTGGAATATTATATTTTTTATTTATTTTTATTTTTTTACTGAATGTAACGTTCTTTATTTTATAATGTATATATATCTTTTTTTATTGCTTAATGTGTCTGAAATCCTGTAGGGGAAAGTAATTCTGTTTTATAAGTGTATTTTTGGAGGTTACAAAACCTAATTGAAACCGTTATTCTGATGGTCATTACTGGTATTTTAAAAAGGTTGTAAAAAGTTAGGGTTTATTCACCAAACCGTAATTCGTGGTGAATTAAAATAACGGGGTGCTAGAAAAATCAAGCCGTGATTACGCCAGAATTGGAGATTTTTTTTACAAATCAGCTATTTTGTCTTAAATGTTGGTATTTGATCTTCAATTTACTGTTTAGTGGTTGAACCCCTAGAGTGCGTACAATTTGACATATATAACTCTAATAAAATGCTATAGTGACTTTTCCCAGAAGGCATTTTGTGCAATAAAACAGCAATTAACTTAATTAGAGGTAGAGAATAAAGAACACGAGATTTAGACAATGCGATTAACCTGTACTTTGTGCTTCCCATGGGGTACATCTAATGGGGCAAGTTCTTGTTTAATTTCCAAAGTTAATTGTATTTTTACTTCCACTTACTATTAGCTGTGCTGTTAAAACAAATGCTTATATTAGATGTAAAATCCGTTACCAGAGGTTCAAAGTTAAATAAAAGAGTATAAAATTCCCCATTCCATGAAATGCGTACAGAAGTTATTGTATTTCCA